CTTAAAACAAAATTACAATTTTCTAGTTTAGTAATTGTACTACCTACCTAACATAATAAATATCTTTCCAACTTACACTATATTACAGAAATACTATTACTTTTATATTACACAATACCAATAGGGGTATTTTCGTCTTTTTCATTACAACTCATTATAATACTAATATTAAAAAATCTACGTGCAAAAAATAAACAACAATCTTGCACCGGACGGAGAAAATATTTGATTTAATAATTTTCAAAAATAAATAGTATCAAATGTTAATTATGTAGACAAAGCTTTAGTGGTGGATATGATTTGGATATTGTGGTGAATTATAATTAATTGTTTCGATAATAGTGATTGAATTAAATCAGTATAATTATAATGTCGTAGCAAATATCTATAAAATAAATAATAATGAAAAAAAAAGTAACATATATTTATTCAAATTGCACATTTAAGAAATGGGAAGAAAAGAATGAAAGCAGTTGGAAAAACACGTGGAATAAGTCGGACAAAATGCAAAGGAATCGTGTTTCATAATGAGTGCGACTTTCGAATTAATAAGAAAACGACAACACGTTTTTTGAGCTGTGCATTACCGGCGCAACGCAACGTTTATCAATTGGACACGTAACGCTACCAATTAAAATTGTTGCATGCAATACGTGTCGACTAATTTTGGTAAATTTAAATTCAAATTTTGAAATTAAAAACTTTGGGTAAGTTCAATTTTTATATTTTATTTACAGTGACATTTTCTTTGGTGCGTTTTGAAAGTAATGTAAATAAAATAAGTTAAAAATATAAATAAATATAGTCGTGTTAGATATGTATTTGGAGTTTGGAAAGTAATAAAATTTGTATTAAATATAGGTACTATTAAAATATTTATTTTTACTAATTTTGGTTATTCATTATATTAATTTTATATTTCAGTAAATATTTCCATATACTAATAAAAAAATTTATATATTTGCATTTCATTTAAAATTCTAATTGTACAACCGTATAAAATGTACTTTTAAAAGTATTCTAGTCAATGTATTTTTACATATTATTCATCAAGATAATGTTGTATTATGTTAAAAATTAATTTAAAAATATATAGATACATCTCATATATTTTATTATTATCATCTATATGTTTCTTAAAAAATTAGAATATTTATACGTATCAATATATTGTATATAACTATTCACAAAAGCTTAATAATTTTACGGAGATAAAAATATAAAATATTATTTTTATATTACATATATATACATTTTTATTCTTAATATGAAAATTATATAAATTAAAAAAATACAAAATGAATACACTCAATATATCACAAAAAAAAAAAAAAAAGTTTTATTATATAAACATTAAATTAAAATAAAATTATTTTAAAATATCCATATTTAATTGATTCTAATTGGTGGGCGTGGCCACGTGTAGATTCTTAATACTTTTGTGCTTAAGAATTTCTTTTTTTTTTTTTTAATCTAAAAATAATTTGGATAAGATTTTAAGTGGAATGATGGGTGTCACAATTTCATTTTTTTAACACTCAACAATAACTTAGGGTTTTATTTAAATATATTATAGTCTTTCTAATGTCTTAAATTTCAATTTAATCAAATTTATAATTAGTAATTTTTTATTTTTTAATTATTTTTTAAAAAAATAAAAAAATAAATAACTTTCCCTAACAATTTATGGTAGCCTTAATTATGACAAAGTTTGTTAGAGCAATTGTGGTTTGAATTAGTCGTCTCGTTATGAAAGGACACGTGTCAATTATCGACCCATTCGATCCAATAATCGTGTCACCATAATCGACGGCTGTCTTTTCGCCACATCGCTTTCAGGTTTAGGTTGGATTTGCATTTTGCCGACATAAATAAAATGGTCATAAGGCTAAAATTGTCTTTTCAGTTTTCACCTCCACAAATCTCAATTACAACAAAATCTAATTTAGATTTTAAGAAATTGAACTAAATCCACAGTACATATTGATTTTTTTTATTTTTTTATTTTTTCGATTTTTAGTATTTGTCCTTTAATTAAATATAAATATACACAAAATCGAACATTTAAAGAATGTTACAGTGGACATTCCATTTTTAAAAAATATATATTTTTGCTAATAATTTATATCGCGATAAGATTGTGACAGATTCTCCAAATAAAAAATTCGATCCTCGTTATTATATAATATATATCATATTCATTAATTTAAATTTTAAATTTAATAGAGTAATTACAGTATGAGGCTAAAACCTTAATAATGTTTTATTTCAAATTCAATTAAATTTATGTTGGCTAATATATATATATATTTTTTTAAAATTATAAGTATATACATTAATATTGTTGCACACACAAATGATATATAATATTATTTTTTTATTTTAAATTTTTTAATTTTACAAGAATTATATACTTTTATGGTCCTATTATTTTCAACTATTTGAATCAATAATATTTGAATTTTCACGTAATCTATTTGAAAAGAACATGTATACTAATTGATTCACTTGCATGGGAATTTTCAAAATCAATTTTACTATTTATGATTCTCTTTGTTGTTTTATTTTTCATTTTAAATAATCTCACTTAAACGTTATTATTATGATTATTATTATTGAATTTGCAACTATTACTTTTGAGTGTGTTTAGAATATTTTCGGTCGAATATAATAATATGTAAATTAAGTTAGTAAGATAAGTTACATTAGACGAAAAATATGTAATAGACAAAAGTTAGAAAAATCAAAGATTTAAATATATATATATATATATATTTTTATAAGGTATGTGGTTCTCATTCATTGTTAATTTACATTCATTCTTATTTCTATTTAATTGAATGTGATCTTATACTTTACTTTTTATTCCACTATAGGTATAAAAAAAATTATATAGTATGTTAGATCAAGAATTCTAACTTATTTTGCTATATAGGCACCTGCATGTTTGCTTTATTTGCTGCCTTTTTTATATTATCATATGTGGTAATGTATCTTTTCTGTTGTTGTATCAAGTAGCCTGCAACTTATTGGGTCTTTTCTTCTCGATTTGGAAAGCTTAGAAAAGGCAAAAGGAATTGATATTTTAGGTGGTCAACCTGTTACAGATTTTATGCAAAGACACATCATTCCATTTACGTTTTTAATTGATTTTGTCTTACATGTAAAAAGAAGATGATTTTATAGATAATTGTAAGGAGAGAGTGTGGTTGTTGGAAGGTTTTGAGAATGGAGTATAGTGAGAGAAAGTGAGTTAAATCTTTTCAACCCCAACCCTTCTCTTCTCCATGTATTGAATGAGTGTAAGACACTTTTATTTTGCCGGAGACCTTGTTGGAGGAAGGAGAAATCGGAGTTCCGATCAAGGGAGGTGTCCAAATTCTAAACAGCTCTGCTCCGTGGTCGTTGTCGGCACGAGTTTGTGACAACATAAGACTGTGAAGGGAATTTGCAAGGTAAACCATGTTAGGAGGTTGAGTTGAAGGAGTTGTGGTTGTCTTTGTTCTTAATCAGCACTGATTAGTGAACTTCTCCTGGATTGGTATCCCCGGATGTAGGATTGTTTATATCCGAACCGGGTAAACAAACCCTTGTGTCATTTACTGCTTTGTATTTTTCGCATACATTCAGTTGACAGTAGGGTGTTATTGTGAAATAACAACGATTCGAGAGTTGGCCCATTTGAATAGGCGTTCGAAAGCACCTATTCTTTCCAACATAGTATACAAACTAACTTATCAATACAATATTATTATTATTTTTATTTACGATCAAAATCTCTTAAGATGGTAGAAGTAAGATGACGCAAGTAATTCTTTTATTTAAAAAAAAAAAAAAATCAAGATGTTTTTATTTCTAATTTTTTTAAATAAATTTATAATTATACAAATTGTACAGTTCTAATAAAAATATATAAATCTCTTTTTTTATAATATATTATATCAAAATTTTAAATCAAAACTAAACTCAAACTAGAAATCAAAACAAAAGCCAAATCAAACACTTATTATTATTATTATTATTATTATTATTATATGAACTAAAATAAAATAAATAAAATAAAAACATTAACTAAATACATGTAAATGTTAAATATATATTTGTAGATAAAAAAAAAAAAGAAATTGAATATAATATTTTCATTAAAAATAATTAATTACCTATTGTGAAAAAATGGTATGAGTATACAAACAAATTCATCCTTCCTTTCATACCATATAATTAACAGGGAATGTAATTAATTATCAATTACTACTATATATATATATATATTTTATTGAACTTTATCAATTGAATTAAAAATAACTTTGATGATATATTTTAAAAAAAAAAAAATTAGTACATAAATACGAAAATAAGTATGAGAGCACAAAAAAATATCCTAAAATGTTTGTTGACCAAAAACCTTTAGAATAACATTTAACTTTATAAAAAAACTTCTAAACTCAACAAAGTATTTGGTTAAATACCATTTACTCACTTACTTAAAAGTATCAAAATTTTGTTACAAAAATTAAATATTCAACCAAACAGGCCCCACACAAAAGTGGGTCCCACAATCAAAACCGCGCCGAGTCACGAAAACCGGTCGGCCGACTAATTTCAAAAACACGGTGACGGTGACGGGCGGGAGATAAACGGCGTCAGTGCGTGACAGGCGCGTCACATTAACGCCGTTAGGAGAACACGTGAATCGCGAGCCGTCCTTACCTTATTGGCTCAACCCTTTCTTCTTCGTCTTCCCCATCGCCACCAAACCTTCAAGATTTCATTTTTATTTTATTTTTTAAAAAAATGAAAAATAAAATTAAAAAGAATTGATAATTCTTTTTTTTTTTGAGGTATATCCAAATTCCATTCCGAAACAGCGTCTGGTCGTCACTTTCAAACCCCACTCGCTAAACCGGGTCGAACCGGTCCGAGTCGACGGGTTGAAAACGGTTCGAGGATTCAGGTAATGTAAGGAACAGACAAAGAGCGAACCTTCCTTCTTCCCCTCCTTTGCTTTGTGCCCATCACCTGCCCCAATTGATCATCGATCCCACAACACAAAAATTTTATGCCCTTTTCTTGAAAGAAAAATAGTTGCAGAAATTCTCTATCTCTATCTATTTCTCTTTCTCTCACTATCTCTATCTGTATCTGTATCTATCTGTATCTATCGTGTGTTCTTGAGAGCGAATATCACTAATTGCCCTTTTCCTACATATTCCTATTCTTACAATTGGAGCAATAAGAATTTTGATTTTTTTTTTTTTTTATAATTTTTGACGGTGATGATTTGATATCAGATTCCTTGTGGGGTTCAGTTCTTGAGAAGAAAAAATTGAAGCTTTGGTCTAATTTATGGTGTTTCTGTAGTTTCGAAGAAAAAAGGATTTTCTTGATTTTGATTTCTTCATCGTGAGGATCGAATTCCGATCGATTTTCGTTGATCTGGAGTCTGATTTCCGAAACCCTAAATCGACATAAAAAAAAAAAAAAACCCCAATTTTGTTGCAGATTAGGGATTATTTTTGAGGTTTTAAGTGCTGTTTAACCATGTCGATGAGTCTCGACAAATGGAGGGAGTATTTCCGGAGTGCGAATTCGGACATTTTCGACATAATCGAGCACGCGATAATCGTCGCTGCCTCCGATTGCCCGTACGACTTCAAGGTTAAGCGAGATCGAATAGCGGAGGTTCTTTTCGCCTGCAAGTCGCGGCGGTGCTTCGGCTGCGACCGGGTGGAGCTGGCGGCGCCGGACGGCGTCGTTTTTGAGAAAAGCGAGGGCAAATACAAGAGCGACGTCGACGCCGGCGGGAGTAAAGACACTAAAGAAAGCAAAGCAAATTGCAGCAGCAGAGACTTCGACGACGACGATGACGACGACGAAGACGACGATGTCCGGAGACAGGCGTCGGAAACGAACGCCAATCAGATCAGCAATTACAGCTATGGCGACGCCGAAGCATTGACCGATGAGATTGAGGAGGAATCTCAGTTCTACCAGGAGGCCTTACGAATCAAAGAAATCTTCGACAACAGTGATCAAGAGGTGTTCTTTGATTATCACATCTTTAGGATCTGTCAAAATTACTACATTACGTGTTCTAAGATTGATGATTTTGTTCTTCATCTCGACAGTCCAATTCGCTGCTGATCGAAAACCTGAGGAAGCTTCAGCTTATGCCATTGTCTGTGGAGGCTCTCAAGGTCCGAATTCGATCGTTTTCTTTTTTGGTCCGATTCTAAGCTAAATTTTCGACTACTTCAAGCTAATGTTTTTGCTCTGTTTTTCAGGCGACGGAGATTGGAAAATCTGTGAATGCTTTGCGTAAGCACCAATCGAAGGAAATCCGGAGTCTTGCTCGGGCATTAATCGAGTATGCAATAATCCCATTTATATGATATTGTCGCGCATTTTGTTTCGATCTTAGATTACTTTCGGTTAAATCTTTATTGCTCATAAATGTCGAATGGATGTTTAGTTGATCATTCTTGTCGTCGAATTGAATAGAAACTTGTTGGAAATTTAAAGTTCAAGTTATAAACGAATGATCGGTTAGAATGTGGAACTAATTTACGATCGAAACTGAAAATTGTTGGATAGTTGTTAGATCACCGATTTGAATACTCGTTTATTCGATATTTAGGGAGTGGAAAATCATGGTCGATTCTTGGGCTTGCGCGACTGCGGAGATTGCAGGTAGAAAATCGTCGCCACATTCGATATTACACGGATCTTGAATTGTGAATTAATAATTGCTGTCATTTTTTGAAGGCGCCGAAAATGCGACAGAATCTGTTAAAACTTCTGCGGTTGAAGACGAGGAAGAAGGGCTGCCGTCGCCGCCGTTGGACGAGGGCGCGTTCTTTGCTACTCCGACTTCGATGGAGCTCTCGCAGGTATCGTATTTTTGTATATTCCGTTAGCGTATAATTTCGACACTTTTTTTTTTCGGATCGTTGCTGATTTTTGCTTCCGGGTTTTCAAAGTTCTTCGACGGAATGGATGACGACGGAAGTGAGTTTCGATTTTCTCTCCTATCGTCTACATTCACGTTTAATTAACGTTCGCTATTCGATTCTTTACTCATCGAGTCGCCGTCGTATCAGATCCTCAAAGCGGCGGAGATATCTACACGAATAGAGAAAGTATTAGAAAGCCGGCGCCCGCAAAAATTGAGCCGCGTACCTACAAGCCCGAGCAAAAACGAAATGCGGAGACTACATTGAAGAAACAGGCCCCTCCGCCCCGACCAAATCGCCCCCTCAACGGCGAACTTGGATCGGGTAGGTCGAAGCCTCCGAGCAACGAAAACGCCGCTCGAAGACCAAACCCGGCTCTCAAACCGAAACCCAATTCGGGTATCAACAACGGCGTGACGAAGCTCGACAATGGCGCAATTCAAAAGAAACCGATCCGCCCCCAACAAGAGGTAAGCATCGATTACGATTTTCGAAAGAAATCTCCTTTGCGCCGATCGATTAAATTTCCTTTCGTTCTATCAGAAGCCGAACTGCGACAACGAGAATTCAGTCGGGATGAAGCTCGAGGCCGCGAAGAGGAAGCTACAAGAACGCTACCAAGAAGCCGAGAACGGTAAACTCTATTCGCCATTCTCCCAAACCGTACTAAAAACGCCGTCCCGTTTTTCACGGAAATTTCTTACGCAATTTTTTCAACAGCCAAGAAGCAGAGAACGATTCAAGTCGTCGAGCTGCGGGATCTCCCGAAACAAAGCCTCGCGCCAAGGAATCATCACGCCCGATTGGGCAACCATAACCGGAACTGGGCAAACGGGCGCCGATAGATTCAAACATTACTTAATTCAATTGGAATAACATCATCGATCCCCCCGAACTGGGCTAACTTACATTAAATCGAAGAGTTTTTCGCCCCCGTCGACATTCGAATGACTTCTTTTTACAAAAGATCATCTGTAGCATAGATTTTCTTCTTCTTCTTCTCACAAAAGAGAATAGAGCAATGTAACAAAATGGAGCACAAACATCATTGTTCTTAGACAATTTATGGACTCTAAGATGTCCATGACTTAATTCTTTTGCCCTTAGGACAGTCCTTCCATGTTCTTCTTACCATAATTGGAAAGGACACACATATATACATATACATGTAATGATCAAATTGCATTTGAACTTGGAATGCAATGCAAAGAACAAAAGCCTTTTCAAGAAATGCCCTTTTTGTTCTTTCATCTTGTGTGTATGTGTATGTATGCAATCAAGAATTGATTTTCATTTCAAGATTTGATTTTTCTTCAATCCCACCAATGGGGTTTAGGGAAAGAGGGTTGGGGTGGGGTGGGAGGGGTAGGGGGTAGGTATCAAACATGGGGGGGTTTTCCTTTATGAATGATGAAAACCACAATACACATATAGAGACATACATGCATTTCTTGTTGTTCAATCACTTTCCCTTTCCCAAAGGTCATTCATAGAAGATGGATATGAATGACTATTAATATAATAATAATTATTATCATAATTATAAATAAATAAATTATTATATTGTAATTGTTGTTGTAGTCCACATGCCAACAATGGATTCTTCTTTGAGGCCATTGGACAGCAGACCACCTTTGGTTGATATTATTATATATTCTTCTTTATCTTTTATGGCCATTGGCCTGTCTTTGTTGACTATCTCCTTAGTCTCATCTCCACATATTCAACAATCCTTTTTTTTTCATTTCTATATACGTTGTCAAACTTTTTTTCTTTTTCTTTTTTTTTTACTACCCTTGATTAACTCCCACCAAAAAATTATTATTAATATTTCCAATGCACTTGACTTTATAAATCACTTCTTCAAACACTTACATCAATGATGAGCTAACAATAGAAATTAGAATCATCTTCGAATATTATTTTTCATATGCTTATCACTTTTTTTATGGGTTCAAGTCTCCACTTTATTAAAATTAACTTACATTGTATTTACTAGGTGGTTATTCTTGTTAGATATAATATTTTGTGAGAAAATATATATATATATATATATAAAAGAAAATGGGGAAGAAAATCTCAAAGTAGAGATTTATAGTTTATCGAATCTAAATGTTAATCGATTTGCAAATGATTCTTACTTGACTATTTTCTTTTAAAGGGTATCGAATCATGTATGACGGTGAAGAATTGAGTGGACAAATCGACTCGAGATCATGCATTTGCCTTTAAATTTATTCAAGACTTAGCCAAATTTTGTTGTAGTAATATCTTATGTGATTCTCTTGAATATATATTGGAAAACCCCAATTCTTAAATTAGACATAATTAAGTAATACTCAACCACCACACCATTCTTGGTACCAATTATTTCATGTTTGGTGGAGTTTTGGTTGATGACAAAATGGACAACATAATGTAAGAAATTATATTATGCGACCCAAGATCAAGAATCGAATTTATTCAATGCGACCGTGTGCTCGCATACACAACATACAAGAAAAGAGTTGGTTGGAGTTGTAATGGATGTTTTAGGAAGAAAACAAGTATTGGAAGCTAAGACACAATAGATCAACAAGTTAGGTTATTATTTGTTTGCTTGTTGTGGATCACTCTCTTTGAATCGATTTCAATAATTTCAATTATTTTATATAATCTCTCTCTCTCTTACACACGCGTTTCGATTCCACCACGACGAGTTACTTATATTATAGTTATATTATATGATCGTAGATTGATCTCCCATATTAATACAATTTCTTTTAATGTATTTTGTCATGATTCATAAATTTAATTCTACCATTATTATTGATGGATTCTTAAAATATATTTATAGAAACTATTTTCTTTGAATAATCTTTACATAAAAAAATAAGATATGATTTATCTTGAAAAGTCATTGTTTAACTAATTCCCAGTGCAAGTTTATTTCATGTTCTTGATTTTAATAAATATTTAACCTTGCAAGAATTAAAATGCATGAAATAATATACAATATTGACTATAAAACCCCCAATTAATTTAAAGAAATTAAACAAAGCTGGCATCTAAAAAGATTACCTAAAAATTTTAGTGGGTTGCCCCCAAAAGTCAATTCTTGCCTCATTAATTTTTTTTTTTTCCTAAAAATATAAAATAAATTTTATGATAGAGGAGATGGGATTTGTTGAACTCTGATTTGAAGCATTTCAATTTTTTATATTGTTATTTTTTATTAGTTAATTTATTATATATGATCACTTAAATATAACAACATAATTTGATAACATAAAGATAAATAAGTAAATAATATCTTAAGCAAGACTATTTACATTGGCTAAATATAAATTTTACCATTACAAGTAGTTTTGAAAAAATAAATTATAATATTCTTGTGTTTTAAATATTTGTCACAAACCAAAACTTTTTATCAATAAAAATAATAAATTGGTCCATAGGCTCATCACCTAGTAGGCTAAGGAATAGATTTCTTTCTTTGTTTTGGAACATAATATATATATATATATATATAATATACACACATTGTCCCTTTAAGTATAAAAATAATAAAAATAAAAATAAAAATCACACCCACAAATTATTAATTTATTTCCTTATCTTGAAGATATTCTATTTATATTCTTGTATATATATATACACACTTATCTTAATTGTGGGCATGCAAGGAGCAAAACAAAACAAAATTTGCATTTTCTTTTAGTTTTGCTCATTTCATTCAGTGTTTCAATAAATGTTTTTATTCTGAGTGATTCGTCTTTGAATTGAATTTTTATGTAAAAATATTTTTTATAGTTAAAATTAATGTATATAAAAATTAATGTAGATTAATTTAAATAATGAAAATAAGAGTGTGTTTGATTTTGTATTTTTATTTTAAATTTTAATTTAAATAATAATTGAACGTTATATTTTGTTAGAGGCCGTAAATATTCTTAATAAAGAGAATCTAAAAATCACTTTACTATTCAAACAATACATTATTATTATTATTATTATTATATTTGCAGAATTATAACAATAAACATTGGGCCAAATCATTTTAATTAGGCCCATACATATTAGTAGCTCATGTTTTATAATCCACTAACATTTGGGCTGTGGCCCATTGAAATATCACTACAATGAAAAATTATTTTTGTAACAAAACATTTTTGTCACTAAATTAACTTTTTTCCGTTACTAATGACATTAGAGACGGAATTAGGAATGAAATTACTAGAGATGAAATTCCGTTACAAATATATTATTTTTTTGTAGTGTATGTTAATGTTTTGTAAATAATAGTAAAAGATTATTTTTGGTCTATGTTATGTTAAATTTGAATTCCTCTATTTTTAGGTTTATGATTTTGTTGCATAATAATTTTTTGTTAGTTTATGCCATCTTTTTCTACCCCTCAATTTTCAATATAATGAATAATTGACAATTATTAATAAATAATTCATTTATTTCCATTATTCTATAGTTGAACAAAATATAAACTAGTATAAAAATTAATTGGAGATAGATAAGAGGGTACACTTAAATTAAGATGATGAATGATAATAAAATTTATTTATTTATTTTACTTTATCATCTTATCTTTAAAAAATCATATTCAAGTTTTATTTATCTATGTAAAATATTTTATATCAAAAAATTTAATTGATTCTAAACTATATTAAAAAAATTAATAATTAGGAGCTATGGTTCCATTTAATTATAATTAAATCCATATATATATATATATATACTCTAATTATTTTTCATTTATTTAAATAATGACATTTCTTAATACTCCACTTAGTTTGTTAATTCATTTGACAGTACCTAGTACATAAGCGCGGTTTGTACTTTATTAAATAACAAACACTTATCATAAGAAATTTTAAATTCATCAATAATAATAATAATAATAATTAAAGACATTTCATGCAATATTATTTTTATGATAAACAAAGTCACCATTCCATAAAATTAATTAACATATGTTATTTTACTTTCTTCCATATCATTTCTGACAAAATTCAGTTTCTTACCCTATAATAATAATAATAATAATAGCCATTGGTAGTTAAAACATAAAAAAATAAAATAAAATAAACAAAGAAAAGGACACAAAAAAGAACTAATTAATAATTTCAATTCATTACAACACAAAAATCAAACCATATAAATCTCACCATGATTCTCATTTCATCACAGGGATTAATTCTCACCAACACTTAGCTCATCCCCCACCCCACCCCACACCCTAGCCACCCCCCCCACCTCCCCCCCCCCCCACAAAAAAAAAAAAAAAAAGAAGAGAATTTCAAAGATCTAGCTTTTGGTGCAAAACAATCACCAGCCAATTGGATATATAAAAAGATCAAACACTGGCTGATGATAGGAATGCAAACATATATATATATAGAGAGAGAGAGAGAGAGAAATTAAAGTGTTTGTCTTAAGGGCTCAAGAGTATTGTTGAATCAATGGAGCCAAAAAGACAAAAACCCTAACTTGTGATTAGTCTAAAAAAAGAAATTATTCACAAAGGCGCGATTGATCGATGATGAGGAATTAATTAATTAGGATGTTATAGCGCAAGCCCTCGGCTTCGACTTGTCCAAGATCGACCACATCACTTGGACATCCTCGTACGCGCACGCCATTACTTCGCCATGTAGGTTCATCATATGTTGTTCATCGTGTCCTCCTCCTCGCCCTACATCATAACCAACAATTCGATCAATAATAAAAACAATTCAAAAAAAAAAAAAAAAAAAAAACATCGATCGACCATAGACAGATATAGATATGGATATAGATATATAAATACCTTGGTGCGATTTCTTGTCGCGATGAGGGTTGAAGAAAGTGCAAGCTTTTCTAAAGGGAGAGGTGAGTGTCTTAACCCAAGATGCCATATATTTTTTTTTTGTATGTCGATTTTACGATCTTTTTTCAACCATATATATATATATATATCGATTTCTATATGTGTTTGTATATATATATGTGTGTATGTATAGGTTTGGTGTTTGTATGTGTTTAATTCTTGGGGCTTTGTCTTGAATGAGGTCCATTCCTCCTCCATCAACTGTTGGTTTTATACAAGAATGTTAAGGTGGGGTATGGGGGGTTGGGGGGAAGGGGGGTAGGGGGGGGGGTGTGGCTGGAATCCAAGGCAAGATCCGCAACACAAGCTGTGTGTTTTCTGTGGGTTTAATGTTAATCATCATCATCATCATCGATCACTATATATAT